AGCCGAAGAGAGGCGATGTGGCAGAAGACATCACAGCGGCGGCGGCGTTTGGGGGAGGAGGCACGGCGGCGGCCAGGGAGGAGCGGCGGCGGCAGCGCGTGGTGGAGATGGGCGGCGGCTGCTGCTGGCTGCGGCCCGGTGCGACGGTGGCGGCTGGAGAAGACGGGGTTGGCGCGGCTGCAAGAGGGCAACAGCGATGGGGATGAGCGGCGGCGGCACGGACCAGCGACGGCGGTGGCGGGAGGATAGAGCGCGGCGGCGGCGGCAAGGACCTGCGGCAGCAGCGACGCACAGAGGATAAGACCTGCGGCGGTGGCGGCGGGTGGAGGGAGCGGCGGCGGGGGCGGCTAGCTAGGGTTAGGATCGACTTGCGATTAATACCATGTAGAGAGATGTTTTGCAATACAATAATCGTTGTCTTGATGGGGTGCTGGCGCATGTATGTATAAGTATAGGGTAGGCCTCAACCTCAACTATATACAACTAGGAGGTGGGCCAGAACACGTAATACATGCAACATAAAGTACAACTCAACACAGATGTCCCATGACAAAAAGTAGTTTGAGGCATCTATATTTATTTTTTTTCTCCCGATGCAAGCTATCACTAGTGGGCCTCATTAAGAAATATAAAATAAAGACTAGTACACGTGGGCCTCATTAAGAAATATAAAATAAAAACTCTAATACACAGGGCTTCACAGGAGTATAAAATAAAGACTCTAATACACATGCATCTCTACTTTGCACTCCAACCTTTTCAACTTTTGACACCGGACCACACTTTTCTCTTCAAGCACCCACCTTCTGCAAAGGATCTCGCTTCTCTATCCGAACTTACTTTACCTGATATCCGATCCTACATAGCATACGGAGCATCACCCTGGGGCTATGCATTATACATGCCCTAAGTAAGCAGGCAGCAGCTCCATTGTGGTTCATGAGTCGTGACCGATTTCAGTTCAGAGTGGCCGAAACAAACGGTGCGGCAAAAGAAAAAGGCGCAACAGAGAGACACATGAGACACTTTCCATTCGAATCTGCCATATCTTCTCATATAGGCATGGAAAACATCACCTGTAAGCACACGGGGTTCACAAGATTTTGCACAGAACTGGACAGCCGAGTATTCGGCGTCTCAAAATCGACCGGAGCACATGAAAAAGGAAGAAAATGTGAGCTGAAAAGTGCTAATCTACTGCTGGTCTGTTCCTCCTCTTTCTCCGTGAGCGAGTGAATGGATCAATCCATGTTCTATCTTCCCTCGCGGCGCGCTCCCAGCGCTTCTGGAAATCACGAAGCTCCACCCGTGATTTTCTCCTGACCTACTAGGCCAAACAACAAACTGTGACAAACTACCAAAAACTAGATGTGTCAAAACATCACATGATATGGTTAACTGCCTATAATGCTTGCAAGTACAGTCTATTAGTGGAGGTAGTTTACAAGTGGGGTGATTGTTCAGACTTATTGCTGTTTTAGGTTCTGAGCTCTCGGCTTGCAACGATTTTTAAGAAAGGTGTCATGTGGCAGTGTGCCAGAGCGAAGTAATTTGTGAGCTCACCTTTGTCCTCATGTCAAGGCTTGCTGCCTTCCCCTGGTTACACGTTATTAGATGTGTTATGGAGATGTCACAGAAACAAATACATTATGTAAACTAGAATGTGCCTTCTGCATTCAGGCAAAGACATACTCTCGTTTGTTGCTGCACTTGAGCAGTTCTCTGACGGAGTGCATGTGAGCTCTTGCCGCGGGTACGCTGTTACAATTCAAAAGCAAACATGAGAGGAAACATCAGCATCCCGTCCTACATCATTATGATTGAAAATGCAGATATAAGCTTTGGCATTGTCCTTTAGATTATCAAGTGATATTTCCATGGCCGTCTACTCATAATTCATACAGTTTCCACCTGTCAACCAAGGCAATGGATCATGTCCGCCATCACATTGACAGGACGCCAGGGCTGTGACGGAGAAAGCAGAAGCTTATACGAACCTTTGTCATTGCAGAACCTCCTAAGGTCTGTACTCCTCGATGGACTACAAATTCGCTATCAACTACTCCAATGTTCTTTGTCCTGTCACCCTAAAACCATTGAAAGGGAAACTTTAATTAAACTCCCTTGAGAAGGATGTCTTATTTACGCAATGAGGTCACCATACTGCTTGAATACGTCAATCCGAAAAGAATCTAAATAAGAACATAAGCAATCCAGAAAAGCTGCCATTCCTCTAATTCAAATTACCTCAAGCAGAAAGAGCAATAGTGTGGACAGTGACTACATTGTCAATGCCTTTGCTTTGGAAACTTTATCTAAAGCATGCTACAGCTATATAAATGTCACCAGTATAATACCTGGGCGCAGTATCCAAACTTGTAATCAATACCCCATCCATGGACAAGATCATTCTGTACAGTGCAACAGATGTTTTAATGGCTGGAATAGTCCTAAAAATCAATTGGGCAGAAAACGAAAAAAAGTCTAATCGTGAAGTGACACAAACGTTCGCTAAGGAGTAGGTTGATTATATGCCAGTGTCTTATGAAGAACTTAGCCCTGCTCGGTTGGCTAGTGGTATGAGTGCATGCCCACCCCACCTGCGTTAAGAGTCCTGGCCTACGCGAGTGCTCGTTATCGATTCTTAATGCAAGGTCATACAGGGCTTCCCCTTACCCCCTGCTAGGTCAAGTTTTTCTGTATTACATATCAATGTCGTATGCCCTATTGTTTAACAGTTACCACGAATTAGTTCCTGACAAATGCAGCAATAACAATATGTTCCCATCATCCCCAACAAGCAATATGTCAGGGAGTTACCAGCAAGATGCATCCAAACAAACCCTGCACATGAATCTCGGAAGTTCTAGAAAATGTTGGAGCCAATAAGGCTAGTTAGTCCCCGCAAAAAAAGGGAGTAAATGTTCTACTGCTTTGTGTATATATTAACTGATTTTGTGATCCAGAGCAATAACAAAAGGAACATGGTAAATAGATGTTAACTGATTTTAACACTAATAAGGGTGACGTAGTCCAAAACACACTAAATGTTTGGCTCCATCCGCTCTTTTCCGTACATGGTTAACATGAGTTATTCAAGTTAAATATGGGACAAACCACAGACAGGGCCCCAAAGTCCCTGGCTTACTCCATATTGTACTACCCATGACTATGGAATGATCAGCATAAAAGGTCTACAACTTGGCTCAAGTCTAAACTCAAATATGAACACTCTTTATTAAAAGATTTAACCCTTACCTGGATGAGATGCCAAGCACATTGCCAAGCAGATTTCGAGAAAACCGGTGCCATGCCCTCGACCCATCTGAAATCAATTAATTGTCACGCAAGCGCATATCTAATGCAGGTTTGTTGCTAGCGTACTATGGTGATTAAGCAGTAAGACAATGCTAGTGTGCTACAGTCTACAGCAGATCAAATAGTAACTAACACGCTTAGTTAACAAGGAAAGCAGATGTTATACCACAAGAAAGAGTTTAAGAAAGAAAACATACCCAGAACAAGGTGGCCCTTCTCTTGAACAATCTTTATTAGCCCGACTGACTCTTCTGTCAAATTATATATATTCTTAATTTTGTTATTCTGTAAACTTCAACTCGAGCAAACAGAGCGTTGCATTACATAAAATCTACCTGTGGAAACTCCCTGTTTTCTTACGAACAGTTATCGGATGATGAATTTCAGATAACTTAGGGTCAAGACCAGGTTGGGATATCTCCAGCCTTTCTGATTTCACTATATTCAAGTACCTGCTCCAAATTACAATGTTAGCCAAATTGGTACAGAGAATACAACAACAACAACAACAACAACAACAACAACAAAGCCTTTAGTCCCAAACAAGTTGGGGTAGGCTAGAGGTGAAACCCATAAGATCTCGCGACCAACTCATGGCTCTGGCACATGGATAGCAAGCTTCCACGCACCCCTATCCATAGCTAGTTCTTTGGTGATACTCCAATCCTTCAGGTCGCTCTTAACAGACTCCTCTCATGTCAAATTCGGTCTACCCTGCCCTCTCTTGACATTCTCCGCACGCTTTAGCCGCCCGCTATGCACTGGAGCTTCTGGAGGCCTGCGTTGAATATGCCCAAACCATCTCAGACGATGTTGGACAAGCTTCTCTTCAATTGGTGCTACCCCAACTCTATCTCGTATATCATAATTCCGGACACGATCCTTCCTCGTGTGGCCACACATCCATCTCAACATACGCATCTCCGCCACACCTAACTGTTGAACATGTCGCCTTTTAGTCGGCCAACACTCAGCGCCATACAACATTGCGGGTCGAACTGCCGTCCTGTAGAACTTGCCTTTTAGCTTTTGTGGTACTCTCTTGTCATAGAGAATGCCAGAAGCTTGGCACCACTTCATCCATCCGGCTTTGATTCGATGGTTCACATCTTCATCAATACCCCCATCCTCCTGCAGCATTGACCCCAAATATCGAAAGGTGCCCTTCTGAGGCACCATCTGCCCATCAAGGCTAACCTCCTCCTCCTCACACCTAGTAGTACTGAAACCGCACATCATGTACTCGGTTTTAGTTCTACTAAGCCTAAACCCTTTCGATTCCAAGGTTTGTCTCCATAACTCAACTTCCTATTTACCCCCGTCCGACTATCGTCAGCAAAGAGCATACACCAAGGGATATCTCCTTGTATATCCCTTGTGACCTCATCCATCACCAAGGCAAAAAGATAAGGGCTCAAAGCTGACCCCTGATGCAGTCCTATCTTAATCGGGAAGTCATCAGTGTCGACATCACTTGTTCGAACACTTGTCACAACATTATCGTACATGTCCTTGATGAGGGTAATGTACTTTGCTGGGACTGTGTTTCTCCAAGGCCCACCACATGACATTCCGCGGTATCTTATCATAGGCCTTCTTCAAGTCAATGAACACCATATGCAAGTCCTTCTTTTGCTCCCTGTATCTCTCCATAAGTTGTCGTAAGAAAATGGCTTCCATGGTCGATCTCCCAGGCATGAAACCAAACTGATTTTTGGTCACGCTTGTCATTCTTCTTAAGTGGTGCTCAATGGCTCTCTCCCATAGCTTCATTGTATGGCTCATCAGCTTAATTCCACGGTAATTAGTACAACTCTGAACATCCCCCTTGTTCTTGAAGATTGGTACTAATATACTCCGTCTCCATTCTTCTGGCATCTTGTTTGCCCGAAAAATGAGGTTGAAAAGCTTGGTTAGCCATACTATCGCTATGTCCACGAGGCCTTTCCATACCTCAATGGGGATACAATTAGGGCACATCGCCTTGATTCCTTTCATCCTTTCTAAAGCCTCCTTGACCTCAGACTCCTGGATTCGCCGCACAAAACACATGCTGGTCTCATCAAAGGAGTCGTCCAGTTCAATGGTAGAACTCTCATTCTCCCCATTGAACAGCTTGTCGAAGTACTCCTGCCATCTATGCTTAATCTCCTCGTCCTTCACCAAGAGTTGGTCTGCTCCGTCCTTGATACATTTGACTTGGCCAATATCCCTCGTCCTCCTCTCTCGGATCTTGGCCATCTTATAGATGTCCCTTTCGCCTTCCTTCGTGCCTAACCGTTGTAGAGGTCCCACATGCCCGACCCTTTGCTTCACTGACAGCTCGCCTTGCGGCCTTCTTCACCATCTTGTACTTCTCTATGTTGTCTGCACTCCTATCCATGTATAGGCGTCTGAAGCAATCTTTCTTCTCTTTAATCACCTTCTGGACATCATCATTCCACCACCAGGTATCCTTATCTTTGCTTCTCCTTCCCTTGGACACTCCAAACTCCTCCGAGGCCACCTTACAAATGCAAGTCGCCATCTTCATCCACACATTGTCCGCATCCCCTCCTTCCTCCCAAGGGCCCTCCTTAATGACCCTCTCCTTGAACGCTTGAGCTACCTCCCCCTTGAGCTTCCACCACTTTGTTCTAGCGACTTTGGCACGCTTATCCCACTGGACACGAATCCAAAAGCAAAGTCAGCAACCACCAGCTTATGTTGGAGTACAACATCTCTCCAAGTATCACCTTACAGTCTAGGCACACACGCCTATCTTCTCTTCTCGAGAGGATGAAATCGATCTGGCTAGAGTGTTGGCCACTACTAAAAGTCACCAGATGTGATTCTCTCTTTCTAAAGAGGGTGTTAGCTACAATCATTTTAAAGAGGAATCAAGAAATCTTCTCCTTCTTCTTTATTCCAGATGTAATACACAAATGATTGTAGCTAACACCCTTCTTCTTGATTCCAGATGTAATACACAAATCTTCTCCTTCTTCTTTATTCTAAAAACAGATATAACTTTGCTGCCTAGCACATACCAGGCAGCAACAGACAACAATTAATTCTGCAATGTCAAAACTACATTGTTATACTTGTAGGCTGTAGCTGCCTGGACCAGGATTTAAGAGCTGAATACATTGCACTCTGAACACATTCCATGACTGATACCTTGGCACTAGGCATATTTTTAATGACAGATAGGAAATGACAGGTTTAAGAACAATACCGGGGTTCATGCAACACATATACCTTCTTGGGTTAAAATTATCTACTTCAAGATCTTCGTCCCAAAGAAATATATACTTGTACATCGAGACGACGGCAGGATGGAGGAACCTTTTAGCAAACCACCTAAAAGATAGATGTCATCTCGAAGTTAAATGATACCAGATCGATACAAATTATAGGTAGTCAAGGTCCGACTCTTAGTTCAGTGCAAGGGTAGAAAGAGGCCGTACCATTTTGTCTGATTAGAAGCAGCGATGTGTATCACACTTTTGCTCCATGGTAGATCATTCCACTCATTGACCTTCCCATCGTAGTGGAACAATATAGCTGTAAAGTTCTCTGCAAGAAACTGAGCATTCAAGAGTTACATGATAATTGTATGTACAAATCACTGCCGAACGAAGTAGTAAACGAAGTACCTTCTTCATAAGAGCATCTACACTTTTCTTCTGATTGATACCAGCAGGGATAGCAATCAAGCACCTGTCTTTCTGGTTAGACTCCTGCTGAGACAAAACACTAGCATAGCATTAGATACTGCATATGGCCTTGTACTCAGGAAGGTGGGAGCAGCTAAAGGCTGTTAAATTCATTCAGAAACTGAAACCAACAGAAATATTGTACTGAAACCAACAATCTTAGGCAGAATAGCTCAACTGACCGGTGATTGCACGCTTCTTGTGAGCCATAATGGCTTGAGCTCCATGTCGGAGTAAGGCTCCACTATACCATGAGGCAAAAACCCGACCCTAGCAGTAGAAGCAGCTCCGTGTGACACCTTGGCAGTAGCTCTCCCAGTCCCAGATGCCTTAACAGCAGCCCTGTCAGACCCCTGATATGTACAATGGAGCCACAGTCAACGCCTCAGCAACAAATGAGTATCTGCTTCAAGATTACCACAGCAAACAAAACAACTTGGTCCTTTTGGTGGAGGCAATGGGTTCACATACCATCATCGTATCAAACGGGGGAGCGTCTTCATCCAACTGTAACAGCGTATAATCAGATGAGCGTCGTCTCTCGAGCAGAATATAACGGGGAATTGAATTTTACAAACGATCGAGTGTTACCACTGTCTGTCTGCGTTGGTAGCTTGCCATGTTGTAGACCACAAATAGGATTATCATCAAGCACAGAACCAGCAGACGCAGCCGCAGTCTCATCTTAGAGCAGTGATAGCTCCTGTGACCATTCTGCGGAACCAAGCAGATAGTGTCATCAGCTCACACATAGAGAGCTGAGCGGCTGTAGATTTGAATACAAATAAAGCATTAATTAAAGCAGCACAGGGGAACCCACCTTATCCCACTGGGCACTACTTCTCGCTCTTCATGAAACCCTGCATTCACGACATAAAAAACTGCAGAAGTTGAGTATGTTTTCAGACACCATGAGGCGCATAAGAGAAGTTGGGCTGCACGTTCCATTCAACCCTGAGGCCTTACTTGAATTTGGATGGACGTAAAACACCATGAACATGTTAAGCTTCATGCACTAGCCGCAACTAAAAGTCCGAACTGATGGAAAGGGCTAGCCAGTCTGCGTATACACTTCAACAGAACAGAGGAACAACGACATTCGCTTTCAACATGCGATTCGCTTTGTTCCCTTTGCAAGAAAAATACCGACCCCTCAATGAAAAAACAAAGGGAAAGCACCGAGCAAGCATGTATTGCCGCGTCGGTGGCGATGGTTACACACCCGCGACGAAATTGTCCTATGTTTCATGGCCGCGGGGTGCGGCGCGACCCTCCACTCGCAGCTCGCGGCGAGGCGCTCTGTGGGATTTGGAAACGTGGGTTCACGCAGCCAGCGCGCAATCGGAGTGTAGAAATCTCGAACCCCCAATCAATCAATATGCGGAGATACGAAGCACGAGGAGAAGAGAGGGGACAATACCGCGGAGGCGGATGAGGCAACCGGCTGGACGAGCGACGAGCGGTGGACCTCCGCGCGGAGGGCACGGGCACGGGCGCCGCTGCTATCTCGTGGAGGAGGAGGAAATGCTCTGCAGAGAGATTGGGAAAGGCACGGGCACGGAGGCGGAGCCAGACGCGGCCGCTGGAGCGGGCGGGCGGGCGGGCGAGACAGCGACGTTCAGAGGAAGGGCGACGTGTGGCGCGTTCCCACCCGCACCCGTCGCTCGCAGCAGCGCCACGCGAGGTGACGACGACCCGACTGACAGAGGAGAGGAGGGAGACGCAGCGCCGGGGTGATGCCGCCAGCTCAGTCACAGGCGATGGGGGTTGCGCGATGCGAGCAGCCCGTATCGGCTGGGCTGCCTGCCACGACCGGGTTTTCCGCTCAGTTTGTTTCTTGGTTCCCTCCCTCGGCCCCCCCGCGCGGCCCAGGAATGTGGAGGCCCCGACCCACCAGTTGCTTCAATTTCAGATTAATTTCAATACTACAACCGAGTCTTGTCTCAAAAAAAAAAAAACCTATTCTCGAGCTCTCGAGTCTTGACTTACCACTCTACACTCAAAAAGAAAAAACTCTTACCACTAAAAAAACAAGTACACTACTCTTGACAATCTTGCTCCAGTCCCCAAACAAAAACAAATGACTCTTACAGACATCAACACTTGTCTCCAAAATTCTGCGATGCCATATACTTGACCAACGAAAGTTCTATGGGTATTACATACAGTTATATAACACAGACATATGTATAGCGCCTAACAACTCGGATCACATCTCTACAGGCAAAAAGCTGCGCTTCATCTAGCTGACCTTGAACAAAACACCAGGAAGACTACCACTCCTTCCTGTTACAAAACATCCTGATTCCCTGACCTAGTCTTTGACAGGGTGGTACACAACACCGGATGGAGCTACTCTAGGACCTCCTTGTAGGATTTGTACACAACACTTCTGCATATCCGCCGCGTCGCTTCTCCCTGTCACCGTCGACTCCTCTTCCTGCCTTTGCTAGGACTGTCTTGCGGCGGCGGTGCAGCACGCTTCTGTCCACTCTTTGGAGGCCGCCCGACCCCTCGCTTCTTGGCGGCGGGCGCACTTCTCTCGACGGTTTCTTCCTCGGCTGCTGCCGCTGCAACGGCGGGGACGTCCCTGGTCTCGCTCTCACCCTGACTGACAGTGCTTCCAGTCTCCCTTGAGGAAACCTTGCTTCTCTTTGCATCACGAGGCACGTGACGTATTGGCGGCAATGTTCGAGAAATCTTCTTGGATGCAGGGGCACTAGTGGCCCCTGCCGCCGCCTTCTTGCTTATGGGGTCACTTGCTACCCTTGCAGCAGTCTTCTTGATTACAGCCTCACAAGCTATCCCTGCCCCGGTCTTCTTCATCACAGGTTCACTTGCTATCCCAGCCACTGTCTTCTTTATTACAGGCTCACTAGCTATCGCTGCCATGGTCTTCTTTAGTACAGGCTCAGCAGCTGTCTTCTTGATTACAGGGCCACTAGCGATCCTTGCCTTGGTCTTCTTGATTACAGGGTCACTAGCTATCCCTGCTGCTTCACAATTCATGGAGAGAACGACTGAACTCTGTTGCCACGTTTTGCATATGAGACCTCGAAGTTCGATTGCAGCCATGTGCTCCAGTGTGGCCTTTGGAAAAAAAGTAAGGACATTATTCACAAACACGAGCATGTCTTTTAGGAGCTCCTTGGCAGAAGAGATAGCACCACTCTTTATCTTTGAACGAAGGATTCGGAAGTCCATATGCTGACGGATCATCTTCTTGTATCTAGCTCTCTTCCGCTGTAGATGGAAACAATTGGACATAAGATGACAAAATCAGAAGTACCTGTGCTATTATATTCATCTCTAGAATAGATCAACTGTACAGAAGATTTGAGCCACTTAAAAGTTCTCTTTCAGAGCATATGATATTACCACGTACAGTTTACCCAATCTGCCCACACTAACTAACTGTAAGCATAACTCAGGTAATAAGAAAACAAAAAGGAAATTCACTATGTCCACAAAGATCTGACTTTCTTGATCCTCTCAGAACAAATAGTGGGCAACTCCAATAAAATTTTTGTAGAAGATAAGACTACAATTTAAAACGCCCACTGAAGCAATAGTGATACAAGACTGATTAAATACCTGGATATCAATTTGGTGTTGCAACATCTTACAGTCACCTTGAGCGGATATACTATTCATAATATCTGCCAATTTTGGTTTTGCTCCCTCGCGCACAGATACACCAGGCTCTATCTTTGGAGTTTTCAGTTCCTTGATGCAGCCTTCAGAGGGAACCTCTCTCTGTACGCATGGAGCTTTGCACACAGATACACCAGGCTCTATCTTTGGAGTTTTCAATTTCTTCATGCAGCCCTCAGAGGAACCCTCTCCCTGTATGCATGGCGTAGATGTATTTTCACCATCTCTGCTACTATCAACAGCCATCAGAATAGCCCTTTTATCCCTCAATCCCCTTTTCTTTCTAGAGCCCCAAAGCAAACCATCTTTGGCACAGAGCTTCTTTTCAGCATGGGGCTTTGATAATGTCTCTGCTGATGTATTTTGAACTTTCTGAGATTTTTGACTGTTGCTTGCTTCCTCTGTGAAACTAGCAGCGGATGATCTGTCTTTGGACAATTCTTTGCTCGAGGAAGTAGTATCAGCTGCATTTTCAGTGTGTGAACATGATTCAGTGTGACATCCTAAGTTATTACCATTATCATGTTTGCTATTGCTGAGACTCTCGATCACAGACTGCAAGGACCTGGAACAGGGAAAAGCCAAATCGCACATTATTAAACAAAAAGAAAAATTTCCACACAGATGGCATAAGTAGTGTCTAAGATAACTTTCACTTGGCTTCAAGATGACAGACAATACTCCATGAAGTAAAGGTTGTGTTGGGATACTGATCATCTTAACCATCCATGAAACCTGATCAACGACGTTAACAAGGTGGGACTTTTTCTCATGACTGCTAATTATGTTTTATTTGTCTTAAGTTCAAAGAGGGTTTAAATAAGCCATATAATTAACCCCACTAAATAACATGATTAATCTAATGTTTTGCATTTTTATTTGGTTCTATTTATCAAAATTTAAATTCTTCAAAAAGTGCTCCCAGCCCCTCCATCTCTCTCCCCTGCCTCATGCCCTTCCCTTCATACATTTCCTTGAACTTCAGTCTATATGAGAAAAACTAATGACTAATTATCAGCAAAGACGATTTCAGAGGAGCTATTTTTAATCAACTTCTAACATTCTTTCAGTCATCTGGTCAACGGCTAGTTTAGCTGATGCATTATGTATAGAGAAAGACGTGCATTGCACGTGCAGGACAACAAGTAACTAAAATATATCCAAAACAAATTATGAAGATTACATGTGAAAATGCCAAAAAAATTCAAGAACAAGGTGTATATTGACATACTAAGTACTAACCCAATAAAACTTTCTGATTTCCTCAGCTCCCTTTTCAATTCAGCAACTCTCTGCTTGCGAAGCTCCTCAAACCAAGCACTGCAATGAAGCAAATACAATGCTAAGTATTGTTACATCATTGTAAAAGTTACTTCGCTATAGAACACAAAACTATCTATGTTAAACTACAGTCCGTTGAAATGTTCTGCGCATATTGGCTAAGATACTAAAATTTGCATATGAGAATGTTGATAATCATCATTGAATATATTTCTTCTGATTACCAGTCCTGCCCAGTGCCCATGATAGATTAACATTGAAAATTCTTCTACCAAAAAGTCAAACATTGTCCTTGGAATACATCATGGTATGTAGCATACACAACCTCAAACTAAATGGGAAGATCATTAACGTGGACAAGTTAGCACAGACATCACAGGGATGGGTAACACTTACTCGCATGCAGAGTAGCGTGCTTGAATCTCTGAAAATTTTGCTTCGCATTCCTGCAAACAAGAAAAACAGCCAACCAATCAATACCGTAACTTCTTCCAAACATGAGATGGGACAGGCCGTAAGGGATTCAAGTTCCCTGCTCCCCACACAATTCCAAAATTGCAAATACTTTGATCTGTAAAACCAACTGTGCGGGTGTTCAAAATGTTTCGGCGTATAGGCACAAAGCTCCCACATATCCAAACTGTTGGACAAATTGCCCTTGGTAATTGGTACCAAAGCGAGCAAAAATTGTGCAACCTGTGTCGTACTGTAATTATATAATACAGGACCAACTGAAATTGTACCACATTCTTCCTCACAAAGAAATGAAGAAATTATGCCACATTTCATCGGTGGATGGTGGTTGGGGGTTGATTCAACTCGTTTGGTTTGCTGCATTTTCAGAACGTGGAACTCATGATCATCCAACCAACGGCACAATCTCTAAAATGGCAGCCTAATCACAATCTCTAAAATGACAGCCTAATCACAGTCTCTAAAATGGCAGCCTAAGCACAATCTCTAAATGACAGCCTAATCACTGTCTCTAAAATGATTACCAAACATTTGCTCTGCATCCGTACGAAACCATATTACATCAACGACGCCGAGAGTGTATCTCCAGCAATGATCACGAAACCCTAGCCAGCACCAAGGATAACATTTCGGTATCCCTAATAATACGAAAAAATGAATATATGCCCTAATCCACCCTTATCGAAGCGGCATTACAGGCACGCGGCCGGTAATCGTAATTAACCGAGCAGTGTCAGGCTAGGGTTCGGCGGTGGGGGGCGGACCTTGGGCGAGAAGGAGCACGGGGAGCGGGCGCGCAGCTCGGCGGCGACGGCGTGCCAGTCGGCGGCGCCGTGGCGGAGGACGGCGCCGCCGAGCACGAGCTCCTCCCACGTGCCCCAGGCGGCGGCGGCCGCGTCGTCGTCCTGCTCCTGCTTGACCACCACAACCACCATCGGACGGGGCGCTCCCTCGCCCGGGCACCGAGGAAATCGGTCGCCCTTTTTTTTGGGTCGGGGCGGCATGCGATTGCGGACGGGCGAGGCGATAGGGGAGGCCGAGCCAGGAATAGGACGAGTCGGAAGCGGAGGGAGGCGGTCGGGCAGGGTCGTCGCGGTCGGCCTCTGTCTCTCCCCACTTTCTTTCCGTCTCTGGGAGTGGGCTGGGCGCCTGGGCGGGCGGTGCCCTGTCTCGCCCATTGTTTTCTTTTCTTTTTTGGCGTGGGTTTTGGATTTTAGATTCTTCTACTATTCTGGGTTCGTGCTAATCTAGGACGTGCGGTGGTGGAGGCCCACGCCACTGTCACGCAACGCCTTTTTTACTCGCTTCGCTACTTATATAGTGACTGAGACGAGGCAACAACGCACATCGCATTTTTTTTTCCTTCCCTCCCTTAGCGGGTCTATGATGAACATGTCTGGCTTTTGTAAGTGAGAGTTTTGTCAGAGGATGTTTATATTTTTCTCATGTATACGTAAAAGCATGAACTTTGGTAAGACCTACGGGCAGATTGTACGTTGCCCGTAAATGTAGGATTTTTTTGGTAAAAGCATCTTGAGCAGTTGTCCTAAAATACTTGCAGACCCTTAAAAAAAACTAATAGATTGTGTAGTATAACATAAATTTGGCTCGCATGTGATCGTTTGGTCCACAAGCTTTCAAAATGTAACACATGGGTATAAACTTTTCGCGGTGTGGCAAAAAAGTTGCTGACCAACCACAACGCGACGTTTGGCTGCCATGTCGAGCTGGCGATGCTCTAATCGTGGTTGCAATCTTGCTAATACCCACGTCGCTTACG